TCCTATAAGCACCAAGGTCAAGGGTTCGGATCCCGGTACCTACACACCAGTCGCCAAAAAAATTTGATCTCCACAGCATCTAACACCATCTGACTGATGGATCTTGTCTTTATTTAAAATTTTGATATTTTGTTCACTATGGATTTTTTTGCATTAATTTTTTTTTTAATTAATTGTATTAAAACACTATCTTGATTACGGAGATCTCCGTCCCATTCCCCTTCCCCTTAAATTTCACTGTATTGGTTTATTGACTTTCTCGTCTCTCTAGAATGTAAGCTACACCGAATGCAGGGAATTCTGTGTTTTGTTCGCTTCACTATCCGCACTGCCTACAACAGTGGCTCGTATATGTTAGTTTCTAAAAAAATATTTTGTGAATGAAAGTTTGAATCCGAGTCTTAATGACTGTCTCGGGCACTGTAATAAAGGTGCCTTTCTCTAGCTGTTTCACAATTTTAAAGTGATTTAAATTGAAAGCCTGTAAAATCATAGGCTGGCTTGGAAACTACATTGCCCAGTGCGTTGTCATGGTTACACCGTCGCCGGCCGTCCTTCTTCGGCAAGTGGGCGGGGCCTGGCGGTGGGAGGGAACACCAGATTCAAACCCAAAGAGGTTGGCTTGATCATAGAGTTAAGCCTCCTTAACTCCTAGAGCGCACTTCCGGTACAACGATTTACTCATTGCTGCCCAAGCCAATCTATGATCTTGAGGAGAGCCGGGTTCTCTCTCTTTGGCTAAACTTCCGGAAAACCTTTCACGCGCTTTCACAGTCGGGTGGGGCCAGGACGCCCCGTCCCCGCCCCCTTGAGCGAGGGTTTGCGATTGGTGAGAAGAACAGGAGGCGGGGCTTAGGGGCGGGTTGGCCTCCGGCGCAGGCGCGCTGGCCCGGCACGGCTGTCGCGCGGGCCGAGTCGGCTGGAAGTGCAGTTGGTGAGCATGGGTGACCGGCGTGGGGCGGCGGAGTGATAAGAGGACGCGGTCTGGGCTCCGAGACCTAGGACCTTGGTGTCCGTTTTCCCACGTGCATCCCGTCCTTGAGCTGGGGCAGGGGCACAACCACATAAACTCCTGGATAATACTCGTCTCCTAATCTGTTTCCTCGGTGGTGGAGTGGGGTCAGCGCTTCCTCCCGTGTCTGCTTCGGGTGGTCTTGAGAGCCACGGTATTCCTAGAAGTGCCAGCCCTGGAAAGGCCCTCGGGGATCATCAGTGGGTGAGCCAGCCTTCCCGTTACGGATGGGAAAACTGAGGTCCGGAGAGCGAAGTGGTTGGACCAGTGCCACCCAGCGAGTGAAAGCCGAGCCAGTTAGAACTAGGTCTGGGGTCCACTGCGGTTTAATGCAGCACGGACCGTGATGAAAACTTTGTGGGACGTGGAAAGAGGGATCTTGCCTTCCAGGTATGACCGTGCGCTCACATGCTGTGTCACCTGACACGCGTCTACATATCTCAGAACCTCCCTCTTCTATGAGTTGAGCATAATAATAGCAAACCTGTTGTGGCACTTACTAAGTACCAGGCACTGTTGTCAGCACCACGCTCAGCTAGTGAGCAAACCGGCCATCCCTATATAGGATCCGAACCCGTGGCCTTGGTGTTATCAGCACCGCACTCTACCGAGTGAGCCACGGGCCAGCCTAGTACCAGGCACTGTTGTAAACGCTTTGTGTGTACAGCTTTCGTGAGTGGATCGAGGGACAATTGTGAGTCAAAGAACCTTTAAAAAGGCCTGGGCTGGAAGGTAACAGTGTCCCGCACAGAGTGGATACTCTGAAAATTTGAATGATAAAATAACTCAGACGCTCTTTGCCAGAGTCTGAAGTGCTACACGTGTTAGTTACTATATTGCTTTCGAGGTATTGTTCGTGCATAACCTTGAAACATTGAGATAATATTAATTATTCTCCTGTTTATGTAAGCTGAGGGGTCTGAGGACAAGAGGCACACGTTTGGGAGGGGGGGACTTACATTTATTATTATCTTATTTAAATTATCCAGATAATTATATCTTGCGCCGGTTTACTTAGCACTTCAGTTATTAATATATTTGATCAACAAACATTTTTTAAAATTTCTTTTCTTCCTTTTTTATTTTTATTAAAACATAATTGATTATACATATTCGTGGGATACAAAGTTGACTATCAGTATTTGTGTACAATATGTGATGATCAAATCAGAATAGTTGGCATGTTTGTCATTCTTTGTGTCCATCAATCAATTTCTCCCTAACCCCCTCCCCCTTACCCCCTCTAATTGATCAGCAACATTAATAATAGTCTAAATATGAGGCATTGTGCTAGACCCTGAAATCTAAAAATGTGGAAAATCTTATGAACTCATACTTTAATGGAGGAATAGGGCATGATACATCATTCACTACCAATGCCTGATGTACAACAGTTTCTCAAAAACATCTTTGGAAATGATCCCAGTACAGTATACTATAGAGAGGTGTGTGCAGTTTGGAGGGGTTGGAGAAAACTTCTTAGAATAAATGAACCTTGAATGATGAGTTGGAGTTGCTGGGGGTTGGGGGAGATTGAGCAGTTCCAGGAATGATGAGCCATTCGGTGCATGTTAGGAGAGTGGTAGGATAAGAAGCTGGAAGAAGTGTGTTGAGATCAAAAATGAAGAGCTTTGGAGCCATTCTGAGAAAATTATGGGGATCCATTAAAGGATTATAAGCAGAGGAGTGATTGGATCAGCTATCTTTTTAGCTGTAATACGGAGACTAGACTGACAGGGGTCAAGAATCATTCAGTTCATTCATTGATAGAACGTTCACTGAGTGTCCACCATGTCCAGGCACTGTGCTGGATGCTGTAGCTACAACTTGGAATAAAATAGACATAGTTATTGCCCTGTAGAGTCACAATCTAAATCAGCAGATGCACAGCTAGGCTCCTGCAGTGGTTTTCCCAGTGTGGTCCCTGGACCACCAGCATCACCATCACCTGGGAACTTGTTAGAAATACAAGTTCTCTGCCCACACCAAGACCTACTGAATCAGAAACTCTGGGGTTGTGACCCTATAATCTGTTTTAACAAGCCTTCCGGTGATTCTGATGCTTGATTAAATTTCAGAGCCACTGGACTACTGTATGTAGCAAGTCATATTGAGGGGCTAACCCAAGGCTGAGGCAGAAAGGGTCAGAAAGGACAGGTGGACTTGAGAAAAATCTTGGAGACAGATTCATTTGCTTTAGGAGGAGTCAAGTTTCTGGGTTGGGCCACTGGCCTAAGGTCAGACCTCAAGTAGGTGATGGAGCCAGGTGTGGATCCACATGAGGCTTGCCTCCATGGCTCGAGCTTTCCCACATAGCCACACTGGACTCTGTGGCAGTGCCTCCAATCTTTTAATATTTGTACAGTGCACAGGGAAATGGATGAGTCTGCTTGAGATTGGAGGGGACCGGCTGGAAGACCCGAGGCTGCTGAAGGCTGGAGATAAGCCAGCTCCCCAGAGCTGAGAGGAATCAGTAGCCCGTTACTGAGCATACTGCAGAAAGCTTTGCTCCATGGACTGTGCTGAAAAGTACAGGTAGCCACTACATTTGGCAATATAAATCAAGAAACTTAAAAGAGTTTTATACCCTTGGACTCAGTAATCCCATTCCTGAAAATCTCTCCCAAATATACAACAAAAAAGAAGAAAGCCTTCTGTTCTTTGTACATTATGTATAACAGAGAAAACTGACAACTCTACAGTAGGAGAATTGTTTTGGAGGTAGTGAACCAATGGAATGCTGTACTGCCATTAGAAATGTGTGACTGTTTTGTAAAGTCATAGAGAAACATATTTATTGGACAGTGTCTCATAAGCCCTTGCCATGTGCTGAGGGTCCAGTGGTGGGCAAGCTAGATATGGTCCTTGCCTGCACAGAGCTGAGTGTTGGGGGAAGACAGGTGGCCAAATGGAGCAGTAACTCCAGAGAGGATTGGTATTTCATAGGGGACAAGTGGGCTCTGCAGGAGAAGCCAGTCTTTTGGGGTACGGGGAGTGGGACAAGAAAGGCTTCCTAGAGGACAAGATGGTAATCCTGAGGCCTGGAGGATGGGTGGATGGTGGTATGCAAAAGGGAGAGGGGTGTTCTACAAAGAGGTGACAGTGTGCAAAAGAGATGAGGGGTTGAAACAATGTCAGCAGCGGTTGTCTCTGGGTTGAGGGATTATAGTTGATGTTCTTCTTTTTTATTTGTTTTGACTTTTCCCCCAGTTTTCTATAACAGCAGAAATCAGTTGAGCTCATAATATATGCAAGATGTTGTTCTCTTTTTTTTTTTTTTTTTTTTAAAGATGACTGGTAAGGGGATCTTAACCCTTGACTTGGTGCTGACCGGTAAGGGGATCTTAACCCTTGACTTGGTGTTGTCAGCACCACGCTCAGCCAGCGAGCAAACCGGCCATCCCTATATGGGATCCGAACCCGGGGCCTTGGTGTTCTCAACACCGCACTCTCCCGGGTGAGCCACGGGCCGGCCCAAGATGTTGTTCTAAGAACTTTTTTTCCTGTTGGCACCTGGCCGGTAGGGAGATCCGAACCCTTGCCCTTGATGTTACAACACTGCATTTTAACCAACTGAACTAACCAGCCAGCCCTAGAACTTTTCATAACCCTGCTGAATTCCCACAGTAAACGTACAAAGTAGGTCCTGGTGTTATTACCAGTTTACAGATGAAGAAGCTGAGCCCAGGATGCTGCCAGTGAGGGTCTGTCTGGACTCCAGGCTGCCTGATTCCAGAGCCTGTGCAGTCACTGCACAATGTTATCTCTCCCCGGTATGTTGTTATATTTTTGGGAAAATATTGATTTTTTTAAATCGGAAGTAAGAGGTAAGTAATGCTTTGATCTGTTAGATATTAGAAATGGAAGGATTTACATCTGCAAAACCAATGGCTGTCTTAGACGTTTTTTGGAGACTGAACTGGCTACTGCATGGTATTAGAACACAGTTAACACTCATTTCTGCATGACTCATTTTTCTCCAGGTGCAAGTGCTTCCCTGCGCCGGGTGTCATGGAAGGGCTGCTGACAAGATGCAGAGCATTGCCTGTCCTGGCCACCTGCAGCCGTCAGCTCTCCGAGTATGTTCCTTGCAGGTTTCACCACTGTGCCCCAGGGAGAGGGAAGCGCTTGCTACTGTCCCGTGTGTTCCAGCCACAGAATCTACGGAAAGACCAGGTGCTCTCCCAGGAGGACAAATCTAGTGACCTAACCTGTAAGAGCCAGCGGCTGATGCTGCAGGTGGGCCTAATCCACCCAGCCAGCCCCGGCTGTTACCACCTCCTGCCTTACACTGTTCGTGCCATGGAGAAGCTTGTGCAGGTGATAGACCAGGAGATGCAGGCCATTGGGGGACAGAAAGTCAACATGCCCAGTCTCAGCCCGGCAGAGCTCTGGCGAGCTACTAACCGGTGGGACTTGATGGGCAAGGAGCTGCTGAGACTTAGAGACAGACATGGCAAGGAATACTGCTTAGGACCAACTCATGAGGAAGCCATCACAGCCCTGGTCGCCTCCCAGAAGAACCTGTCTTATAAACAGCTTCCATTCTTACTGTACCAGGTGACGAGGAAGTTTCGGGATGAGCGCAGGCCCCGCTTTGGTCTTCTCCGTGGCCGGGAGTTTTACATGAAGGATATGTACACCTTTGATTCCTCCCCAGAGGCCGCCCAGGAGACCTACAGCCTGGTGTGTGATGCCTACTGCAACCTATTTGACAGGCTGGGACTGCGATTTATCAAGGTCCAGGCAGATGTGGGCAGCATCGGGGGCATGATGTCTCATGAATTCCAGCTCCCAGTGGATGTTGGAGAGGACCAGCTTGCAGTCTGTCCCAGCTGCAGCTTCTCTGCCAACATGGAGACACTAGACTTGTCACAAATGAACTGCCCTACTTGCCAGGGTCCACTGACCGTAACCAAAGGCATTGAGGTGGGGCACACATTTTACCTAGGTACCAAGTACTCTTCCATTTTCAATGCCCAGTTTACCAATGTCCATGGTAAACCATCCCTGGCTGAAATGGGATGCTACGGTTTGGGGGTGACACGGATCGTGGCAGCTGCCATTGAAGTTCTCTCTACAGAAGACTGCATTCGCTGGCCCAGCCTCCTGGCCCCTTACCAAGTCTGCCTCATCCCCCCTAAGAAGGGCAGTAAGGAGGCGGCAGCTACAGAGCTCACGGAGCACCTGTATGACCACATCACAGAGGTGGCTCCTCAGCTTCGCGGGGAGGTACTGCTGGATGACAGGACCCATCTGACCATTGGAAACAGACTGAAAGATGCCAACAAGTTTGGCTACCCCTTTGTGATCATCGCTGGCAAGAGGGCCCTGGAGGACCCTGCACATTTTGAAGTTTGGTATCAGAACACTGGTGAGATGGTCTTCCTCACCAAAGAAGGAGTCATGGAATTACTGACCCAAGTGCAGGTTGTCTAGATGCCCCCAGCCCACCCCTGCCCCTGTCTGTTAGCTGTGGTGTTCATTCTAACGCTGCATTTTCCTACACTCCTTTCCTGGGCTGGTCCCTCCAGAAACAGGGCAGCTCATGGAAGGTGAGACCGTGTTAGAGAAACCAATTTTTATGCAGTCATTTGTTCACATTATTGTATTTAAAGTCATTAACTTGATCTCTTTCTCTGGACTGGCCACACTGCCATATACCATTCCTTTTGTACTCTATTGTGGCACCTTCTGTTAGGAGGCCGAGAGGCAAGAAAGAGACCTGAGTTCTAGTCTTAGCCCCTGGGAGAGTCACTTCCCTTCTCTCAGCTGAATTTCCCACATGTAGGATAGGAATGGCTGATGGCCGAGGGTCCCTCCGATCCCTACAGTCTGACCACAGGCCTCTTGCTACATTCAGTCTAGAGAGCAGGACCGCCAGCCCTCTTCCACCGAGAAGGTGGGCTGAGAGTGGGGGGATCTGACTGGCCCAACTCACTGGTGACTTGGACATGTCCCCTCCCCTAATGGGGCCTCAGTTTCCCCATCTGTAATATGAGAAAGTGGAGGGAGAGCTGTAAAGTCCTTACAGCTGTGACTGGGTGGTTCCATGAGAGGCTCATGTCAGGCAGATCTGGTTCCTCTGATCCCTCATAGTCTAAGCATATTGGAAAGTTGATATAATTAGCCGATGGCTTCAGAGACCTGGCCCTATTGAGGCAGCTTAAGCACTGAGATCATGTTCTATAGATTGAATGAAGTCAAACTATTGGAATGAACCTTGCATGTTAATTTGAAAGAGTGATAACATCTGCCATTTTAACAGTGCAAATGCCTTCCTACCCCTTTTCTTTCTTTTTCTACTGTTTCCACACTGCAAAAAAAGTGGGGGGGAGGGGGGTTGGAAAAATATGTTTTAAACCATCTCTTCCCACAGGTGTCAGGGACAGCAGGCTCCAACTGCCATGGTGACTTTATCCTAGGTACATCCTAGAGCCACAATGAGGGGTGAATATTAAGAGCTGGTCTCTGCCTGAATTCTGTGGAAAACTGGGAGCAGACTTGAGCTACCACAGCAATGCTGCCTATTTTCATTGCTCCTGCACACTAGATTAGGAACATAACTAGGTTTTCAATCCTTGGCCCCCAAGGGTCTCTACGTGTCCAAGTCCAACAAGATTCCGTGAGGGCCAAACTCAAAGCCACCACCTCCTGAATACCTGCCTGACAGCTCCTGGAAGTGTTTTCCCTCTTCCTGCCACAGTGCTGACGGCATCCCTAGATTTGCACATACACAGCTCATCATATGGTAGTCCAGCCTCTTGTAGAGATGAGCTCCTGGAACCGAGGGGCCTGAGCCAGTTCCTAGTGCACTGCAGTTCTTGTTGTGGCTAGTTGTTCTGCCTGCTAAACAGCTTCTTGGCAGCTTGTTACTGCCACTGCTACTACTGCTAGAGTAATCCCACTCCAAGCACGCACCATCAGGTTTCCTAATGAATGTATATGCCAAGCCATAATTGCTCCCAGGCCTATCATTGGAGCTCTGGGCCTAGGATTTCTTTGGAATTACTTTAGACTTTCAGGCCAGGAGACGTGGATTCTGAGAACAAACCTAGAAAGGCTAGATTGCAAGGCAGAAGATCTACCTTTGCTGCACACTGGCATCACCGGAGTCCCACCCAGAGGTTCTGGTTATGGTGTGGGGTGTGTCCTGGGCATTGGGAAGTTTAAAGCTCCCCAGATGTTTCTAATATGCAAAGTCGATTGGGAGTTCCTGGTGTAAGAGCCGCCTCCTCTGGGCCACTTTGTAATTGGGCTTTATCAGACCGATTCGAGCTTTCTGCTTAGAATGGTCTGGTCATTTATTTGTTGAGGGTCTGCGTTGTGCTGTGAGGCACTTTTATATACCATCTCTAGACCTTTATCAGACCGATTCGAGCTTTCTGCTTAGAATGGTCTGGTCATTTATTTGTTGAGGGTCTGCATTGTGCTGTGAGGCACTTTTATATACCATCTCTAGACCTTAAAACTATGCAAGGTAGCTGCTGTTCTCATTTACAGATAAGGAAACCTGAGGCTCCATTTAAGCAACTTACTCAAGGATGTGCAGCTATTAAGGATCAGTTCTAAAATCGGGCATTGGCCAAAAATTATGCCCTTCCAACTACACTGCTTGGCCTCTGCCTAGACAAAAGTGACTTCAATAAATAAAACTGAATTATTTATGTCCATCTAATCAAGTTAGCCCAAAGTATGTGAGAAATTAGAATTCATGCAAATCGGTGCTTTAAATAATTTTTTTAACTTTAAATTTGTGCTCCACAAATTTGCTTAATCTACCTTTGCTGCACACTGGCATCACCGGAGTCCCACCCAGAGGTTCTGGTTATGGTGTGGGGTGTGTCCTGGGCATTGGGAAGTTTAAAGCTCCCCAGATGTTTCTAATATGCAAAGTCGATTGGGAGTTCCTGGTGTAAGAGCCGCCTCCTCTGGGCCACTTTGTAATTGGGCTTTATCAGACCGATTCGAGCTTTCTGCTTAGAATGGTCTGGTCATTTATTTGTTGAGGGTCTGCGTTGTGCTGTGAGGCACTTTTATATACCATCTCTAGACCTTAAAACTATGCAAGGTAGCTGCTGTTCTCATTTACAGATAAGGAAACCTGAGGCTCCATTTAAGCAACTTACTCAAGGATGTGCAGCTATTAAGGATCAGTTCTAAAATCGGGCATTGGCCAAAAATTATGCCCTTCCAACTACACTGCTTGGCCTCTGCCTAGACAAAAGTGACTTCAATAAATAAAACTGAATTATTTATGTCCATCTAATCAAGTTAGCCCAAAGTATGTGAGAAATTAGAATTCATGCAAAT